CTGCAGCACAAAAGCAGTGTTAAGTCGCTGGGGGATATTTGTAGCAATAGCCAACAATACATAGTATGGGTCACAATTATACATTTCTCTTTTATGCCAAAAATCATTAGGATATTAAGTAAAGATCATGTTCCATGAAGATATTTTGTAAATGTCCTACTGTAAATATATCAGAACTTAATGTTTGATTAGTAATATGCATTGCTAAGAACTTCATTTGAACAACTTTAAAGATGATTTTCTCAATATTTAGATTTTTTTGCACCCTCAGATTCCAGTTTTTCAAATATTGTCCTCTCCTAACAAACCATACATAAATGGAAAGCTATTTATTCAGCTTTCAGCTGATGCATACATCTCAATTTCACAAAAGTGACCCTCATGACTGGTTTTGTGCTCAAGGGTCACACATGTCATCTAGAAAAGTGAAATGGAAAAAAAGTAACGCAGAGTAATGTGTGGGAAATAAAGCAAGGCGGCGTGTTTGATGACGTACCCAGCGTGACGGGTCGCTGATCAGACTGATGAACAGAGACGAGAGTTTGCTGCGCCGCACGTCTGGAGACGAGGCCGAGGAGACGGTCATGAAGCACTCGGCGCAGGCCTTCCTCACGCCCCACACGTTATCAGAGCACAGCTGGAAGAAGCGCGGCAGCTGCTTGTTTGAAAGGTTTTTAGAGTAATATTTGTTGTTTTGGTAGTTTTATATAAATCTGTACGCTAGCGGTCAAAAGTGTTTGAACTAAGATTTTTAATGTTTTTAAAGAATTCTCTTCTGCTCACCAAGCCTGCATTTATTTGATACAAAGTACAGAAAAAACGTGAAATATTTTTACCATTTAAAATAATTTTCTATTTTAAAATGTATTTTATTCCTGTGATTTCAATGCTTAATTTTCAGCATCATTACTCCAGTCACATGATCTTCAGAAATCATTCTAATATGCTGATTTGCTGCTTTAAAAATATTATTTTTACTTGCATTAACTTTTTCAGGTAAAAAAGTGATCAGTTTTTCATGCTTCATTAGTTCATCAATAGGCAACATATTCCTGTTCATCAACAAAATTTAGTCCAAAAGTGTGTGAGACATGAGGAAAAGACTAAATATATCTTACAAAAGCATTTTGACACTAATATAACTTCATAGATTATTTAACAAAAAGCATTTTGACACCAAACGGCGCTCCATACACACCCAGTTCAAAACGACCCGAGCATGAAATATTAGACTTCTAGACTTACTTAACTTTTAAAAATAACTTTGTATTTTGAGGGTTTTAAAGCATTTGCCAAGTTTACTACGCATTTTAAAAAATATTTATTATGCATCTCTTTCGGGTCAAAGCGGACCCGCATGTGTTCTGAGTCCACACAGAGACGCGATCAGCATCAGTCTGTCTGGAGTCAGCAGCTTTTGCCCTCGCTGCACTCGAGCAGAGCTTCTCAGGAGCTTTGCTGAAGCATCAGTTCTTCTCAGTTTGTTCATGTGACTCCAGACAGATTGATGCTGCTGAGGCCTGCGGCAGCACAGACTCTCACCGCCATGGCTTCGGTCTTGACGTCGTCGCTGCTGTCGGGAGCGGTCAGGTCCACCAGCACCGGACACACCAGGCTCTCCACGTCTCCTCGCTCCATCAGCTCCTGCTCCAGCAGAACCAGCAGCGCCGCCTGACTCGTCTTACGCACCTGACCGGGACACAGCAGCAGCAGCAGGCTCTTTAGCAGCGCTCCTGAGGAACCGCAGCAGCACACACAGCTCACACCTACCAGGTTGTTCTGGTCGGACAGGTATCGCACCACGATGGGAAGCAGGAACTTGGAGAAGGCGAAGGGAATGGAAGGTCTGTTCTCCTGACAGAAGATGGCGATGTGTGGGATTTGCTCCATGAGCTCTGCTCGAACCGTCGGCTCTGACGAACAAACGGCATGCCGTTAAAACTACAAACCATAGAGCACAGCCGGAGAAACAAGGCATGGCTGGATATACATGAGCAATGCTGAAATATGACCGTGTGCTTCAGCTGATAATGCATCAAAAACAAAGATATGAAACCGTCACAGTCAGAACAACAGCTGAAGCTTCACAAATCACAGAATTAAAGATAGATCTATGTTGAAATGTTGTTTAAATACGCAAATTACATTTTCTAGTTAAATATGCATGCATTTGAATTTTGCATAACTTTCCAGAACCGAAATCTGAACATTAGACCATTAGGTTTGAGAAAATGCATTTGTGGTGTTTATTTTATTCTTTATATTTTTCTCTAATATTATGATATTTATTTTTCGCCTATTATTATATATTAATTTTCCTATATACACACATATATATATATATATACATTTAGTATAACATTTAGTGCTGTCAAACGATTAATTACAATTAATCGCATCCAAAATAAAAGTTTGTTTACATAATATATGTGTGTGCTGTCTAAATGTATTATGTATATATAAATACACACACAGTATATATTTTGAAAATACTGACATGTAAATATTTATAATCATAATTCATATTATATACAAATATATTTAATATATAAACATAAAATTTTTCTGAAATATATACATGCATGTGTGTGTGTTTATATATACATACACAGTACGCACACATATAGGCCTATTATGTAAACAAAACCTTTTATTTTGGATGCAAAATTTTATTTTGGCCTATATATTTAAAAAAAAAAAAAATCTAATTGATATTTCATAAAATTCTAATATTTGTCCCAGGTGAAACATTCTCTTTTTCTTTTTTTTTTACATTAAATGTATTTTTGAGTAAAAATGTTTCCTAGCATCATTTAATAAAATACACTTCAAAGAAGACTTACACACACACACACAAAAAGTTCTCCTTCCACTAAACACACACATGTAAGTGTGACTGAAAGAGGATGTGTGTGTGTGTTTATCAGTCTAGAGCTCACAGGAGTCTTTATGACTCGGTGACTCTGTGACTCGGTTCAGTACCTGAGTCGTCTGCGAGTCTGTCGATCCGCTCCAGCACAGACACACACTCGCGCTCATCCTCGCTGACGGCCCGGAGCGTGTCCAGAAGACTGCGGGCCACCATCTGCCTAAACACAATCAAACAGAGGGTCAGGTGCATTGTGGGATACAGCATCCTGAACACCCTGCTCTGACAGATATAACAAGTCTGCATACTGTAGAGTCATATTAACAGGGTTCTGTGTTTCACCTGTTGAAGACGTTCTCGCTGCTGATGTACTTGTCCAGTCGGCCCAGAGGAGTCAACATCTCATCCTGAGACACGAAATCCAGCACTGAAGACACAACAATAGTGTCAGACTCTGAGCTGAATCCATCCAGACACAGAACACACTCTCACACTCTCACACACACACACACAAACTATCTCACACACACACACACACTCTCTCACACACACACACACACACTCTCTCACACAAACACTCTCATCCACACACACACTCTCTCT